AGATGATGACGTGCCAAAAGCATGTGTAGTTTCATATCTGCATAAGTAAAGCCCCAACACAACTATTTGTGTCTGTTATCAGTCTGCCTTGTTAAAGTGTCTCATGTGCAGAGACAGTTTGTGTCCTGTTGATCATTTTACAGATAAACAAGGTCTTGCAAGTTGAAGTGAAACGTCTCTTGAATTTTAAGAGTTCTACTTTCATAATTTTCATGCAGGCTGGTCTCGTACTCGTTAATTTACGAGATTAAACCCGTAAATTTACAAGTTTAATCTCGTAAATTAACGACTTAAATCTCAAATTCTCTTTTATTTTTATTTTTTTTAACGTAGCCATAATCCTCCGTTGTAGACAATAGTGCAGTGGTGAGTAGTGCAAAAAAATGCTGAGATGAACTTGATGATAAATATATAGTTATGTATCAGATGGTTAATATATATGAGGTAGAGTTTTTACAGTGTTTACATACGCAGTGTGCATAGATTGGTGAGTGGATAATATTTCAGTGTATACATGATTAAGTTATTGAAAAATAAAAATAGTTATTAATTAATAAAGAAACATTTTTTGATAAGGAAGTCTTAAGATTTGTGATGTTTTCCGCTGCACACGTGGACAGTTGGCGCCCAAAAAGGGCCGGCATTAAATGACCAAAGGATGCTGAGCTGAATGGCTCCATTAGGACGTCGACGGCGGCAGATTAACAGTAAATCAGCGGAAGCACGAATACAAGCCTGACTGAAGAATTTCACATTTGCAGTCTTGTCTTTTGTTTTAAGCTCAGGTCGGCGACCCGGCCGGCCTCATTACAAACCAGTCTGTGTAGAAAGGGCAAATCCAGAGTGACTGGCATTGTTCTGTGATTGGCATGAGGGTTTGAACCGCGGCCGTGTTAATAAACCACGCAGCTCTGTCCCGCTTTGAACGCCTCTCAGACCACGGGCGAGTTTCCCGTCACAGGTCAGTGGTCACTTTGTGCGTCTGTGGCTTGCAGACGCTCCTTCAGATAATATTAACCTTTTCCAACCTGAACCGCTGACCCCTGGCACAGATGCTGCTCGGACTTAACCTTCACGGTAGTCGGGTTTGTCTCGTGTCTTCATGCAGAATTTTAACCACAATCAGACAGAAAGTTTAAATACGTTCTCATTGAATACACCAGGAGAGCTTTCTCTGTCGATAATAATCAGACAGTATTCATTTAATTATAAGTCCCCTAACCCTCCAGGAATCATGATCTAAAAAACACCAGAATAAATGTTTTAATTGTCGAGTCATTCCTTTAATTGGTCAGAAATAAGAGAAGAAATGTATAGCGCTACAGCAGCAACGTGAGACAGAGCACAAAGTTCACAATTAAATAAAACATAAAATAGTTGAGGAGCCAAAACCAGAGCTGCAGATGTTACAGATGTAGTCTGAACATTCAGTTATAAAAAACAACATCATTAGTAGCATAAGGTAAATATTAAAATTTGATTATATTGCACGAGAGGTTGGAGTGAATTTGTCCAGCTTGTGCCTGTGTTTTGGGATCTATACTGTGTCGAACAGTCTGACTGAAGCCGGAAGGAAGGACCTGCGGTATCTCTCCTGCACCCACCCACGGGTGACGAATCCTCTACTGAAGGCACTGCCCAGCGCTCACTCACACTAGGCAATCTGTACCGTCCACTTGGTTTGACTAGTACTGACATGTACCTGAGGTCAGCACTGTCCTGATGCTTACTCCTCTTCTCTTTTATTATTAAAGCACTCAACACCGACTCCTTCATGAAATGTTGCGACCCAAATTTCTGTTTTTTTTTTCTTCATCAAATCACTGTGGCTCAGTTACTGTGGCCCTTTCTGAATTGTCACAGTTCAGTATGCAGTACGTACTATTCAGTATGGAGTTTCAGTATACTGAACTTTCGTGGTCATTCAGTATGCATTTTATGGGTCCACCTCAGTATACTGAACATTTCAGTATGGATACTAACTTCCTGGTTTTATGCAGTATGGATCGGATGCCTGCTTTCAGGAAATGAATTGTATTTTACCAACAACAATGCTGTGCGAAATTTAATGTAAATTGTCACGTGCGCTTCCAAATTAAAACAAACGAGCGTGGATTAATTGAATCAATTTTTAATCTAGAGTTAAAGTCCCGATTGAAATCACTACTTTTAATTAACAACAGAAAATATAACAAATATCTGTATTATTATAAAACCTTTCCGCCTCTATTTAAATAATGATTTCACTATTTAAATGTGTCTTTATTGGTTTATTTTACTTTATATTCTGTATATTACTGTCTTTCATTTGTACTTTTCTTTATGTAGCCTACTGTATGTTATTTATTTATTTAATATGCCTCTTACTTGAGTTACATTGTGATATTGTTTTTTGTTTACCTGACTGTATATGCGCATTACTCTTCTTGAATAAAGCTAAACAAAAAAAAACGGGTGGATGCGGCCGGTTCGGGTAACGTAAATGACGTCACTTCCATACTGAATGAATCAGAAGTAGTAGGAACAAATATCTGCCTACTGTGTGTGCATACTGAATAGTAGGTACTAACAGTATACAGCACGGATAGTACGTACTGCATACTGAAAGATTTAACATGTACTTGGCAATTCGGATACGGCCTGTGTCTGTCGTCAACCGAAAGGTCGGGGGTTCGATCCCCAGCTCCTGCAGCTACATATCCGATGAGACCTTCAGCAAGACACTTAACCCCGAGTTGCTCCCGCTGCTTTGTCTGCCACCTGTGACCTACAAAAAACATGACAGAACAAAGAAACGTGTTTAAAAAGCACTTAGATTAATTTTTTTCCACGTACAAATTCACGACCCACTGAAAGAAACTCGACGACCCACTTTTGGGTCCTGACCCACCAGTTGAAACCCCCTAATGTAAACCAGTATCAGCCTTAGACCTCTTGTACGGATTCAGACTCGAACCATGAGGCGTCTCAGTTGAAAACTGAAAACATCTCATCGTGACATCACGTCTGTCCGCTCCTCCACGCTCTGAAGAAAAATACACAAACACGTGTCTGCCGCGTTGGAGCTCTGAGTGTGAATTCTTCTTTCCGTGTCAGGCGGTTCAGCTCATCTCCTCGTCGTCATCCTAGGTTTATTTTAAGGTGAGCTGCTGAATGGGCTCTTTTAGCCTGCTGTAATTGAACCTGACCCTCCTGCACAATTAACTCTAACCCACAATATTTGCTCAGTGGTCTCGGGTTTTGGATGGCTCGGCCCCAGCGGTGAGGTCGACCCCACTGTTGTCAGCTCAGCCATCAATCACTGAAGGGGGGGCGGGGCCGCAACAGGAAATGAGAGAGAGCGGGGATGGTTAGATCTGTGTGTTCTGGACGCCTCGAGGGTCTCTCCTGCGTCACTGGAGGCCACGCCGTCAGTTCTGTGGTTAGACGGCTTCCTCTCTGTTCCCCTTTTGGTTCTCCAGCAGTCCACTGGGTCCACTTTAGAGAACAAATGTTTCCCAAGAACCTGTCAAGCACTGAAGTTTGACGCCAGCTGTTTGCACAGGTTTTTAGCCCTCTTTAAATGTTTTAAATTATCGATACCAGAAACCAAAAATGTTTGTTTTTCTTATGGAAAATTACGTAAACATCGTAGATAATTCCAAACAGTTTGCTGCTTCCTCTATCTGCTCTTTTTTTGCTCAGATCTCCACATTCAGTACTTGGGACTTAATTGGTGGTTATTCTGCAGCCTCCACAGGGAGAGAGAGTCTGACAAACACACACACCTCCAGGGGAGGAACACCTGAGCTCCAGTAGAGTTTGTTTGTCTTCAAAGACCCCTGAGAGTGATGGGGAGGGGGAGGAGTTTTCACCTGCACATTTTGGTTAAAGAGGAAGATGCAAGATTTCACTCAATAGTCCGTTACCAGACCAGGTGACTCGTGTAGGAGGAGTCTTATTGATCATGACCTGTGTCACAACAATCACTCTAAACTAAGACGGCGTCGGCAGCAGGCAGCTGCAGATAAATACTGAAACAAAGGCATCAGAAGCTTCAGTTTGGACATGAGCATCGCACCTCAATCGGAGCATTTAGGGGAGATATGAACAGACTCTCTCACTCTCTCTGTCTTTTTCACTCTCTTGCTTTCGTAAGCGCACAGTAATATATGAAAAAATGGGCGAAAATATACTTGGGCATAGTGTTGTAATCAGGACCACACTAACCAAGACATACCAGAGACCAGACCAAGACATTTAGGGATCGAGACTGTGTCAAGACCATCAATATCACTGAGAAATGATCATCTTGTGTGTCACTCACTTAGTTCATAACACCGGGAAGGTTGCGATCAAAAGTTCTCGAAGTTATTTGTTGTTTTAGAAAGAGACATTTTCCTTCTAATCACAGTAATGACGTGGACAGATAGCCTGTCAGTGGTGGTCTTGATTTAAAATCTGGAGACAAGACAGAGTCAAAATTATTTCGAATCGGGAGACAAGACAGATTTTAAGTACTACAACACTACTTTGGCTTACACAAAATGCTGCCTGACACGTTGCTCCTACACAATGCTTTACGTCCACTGACCTTGTTTACATCCAGGTTGTAGAGCGGGGGCAGCAGGTCCTTCATCCAGAGCTACAGACCCTGATGAGTGGCGGTGCGGCTGATCTGCAGTTTGAGCAAAACATTTGAGCAGCATCGAAGACCCACATATGAATAACCCTTCTAAACGACTAGTAGAAGTTCTGGTTCAGGGCGATGCAGCCACTCGTGTTTCCATGCAGCGTGCAGAATGTGACGGATGTGATGACGGTTGGTGTTATTGTCCCCCAGCAACCACCGACACGAACAGAGTGCTGCTGTATGCTGAGCCGTGATTGGATAAAAAAGCTGCTGTTTCGCATTTCTATGAAAGTGAACGAGTTTTAACCCAGTTCTTGTGTTGTGTTCGTCACTTTGAGTTTGAAGGTTGACGGCCGCTCTTTAATCGCTCGTTTCTCTTTCATGGCAGTGATCAAGGACCCGCCGTACAAAGTGGAGGAGTCTGGATACGCAGGCTTCATCCTGCCCATCGAAGTTTACTTCAAGAACAAGGTACGTTAAAACATTTTCACCTGGCAACCAACCAAACACAACCTGGTCATCATAACACACTGACTGTTCTGCTGCTTTCTCTCTCTCTCTCTCTCTCTCTCGCTCACACACTCTCTATCTGTCTCTCTCACACTCTCTATCTGTCTCTCTCTATCTCTCTCTCTCTCTCTCTCTCTATCTCTCTCTCTCTCTCTCACTCACTCTCTATCTGTCTCGCACTCTCTCTCTCTCGCTTGCTCTGGGTGCATCGCCGATTCTTCATCAGGAAGAACCGAAGAAAGTTCGCTTTGACTACGACCTGTTCCTCCACCTGGAGGGCCACCCACCTGTCAATCACCTGCGCTGCGAGAAGCTCACCTTCAACAACCCCACGGAGGAGTTTCGAAGGAAGTTGCTCAAAGCCGGAGGGGTAAGAGAGCATTTTTGAGGGAGGGGCGAGGAGACGGATTGAGTGACATTTCTGAATGTGATGCAGCAACTTGAACTGCAGCTAAGTGAGATAATCTCAGCAGGGCGAGGCGACGGATTGTAGGGCCTCAGAAACGCTCAGAATGTGTCACGACAAAGGCCACAGGATAACCCGGTGGATCTGTTCTAATTGATTGTTATATTAAGTATATCTGCTTTGAGGACTACAGCCTCCTACATGGGCGTGACCTTACTGCTAGGTCATCAGTGCCTTCAATTTAGATCACGACAATTTCTTCTGCTTCGCACTTTCCTTTAGTTCCAACCAGAAGTCCAAAAAATAAAGACGCTACGTTTAAAGACGAGCTTAAGAATCACATTTTCATATTTAAGAAATGGAACCAGCTACCAGGGGTCGTTCATCTTCTGTCCATCAATATGTTATCTAATCCAAGCAGCTCTGATTTTAAAAAGAAAAAAATAAATCCATATTAGCCTTATCGAAACTTTAAATCCGCTCTGCATAGTCTTATAGTTCTTTCACACTCGCAGAAATCTCCTTAAAATCTCCTGATATTTTCTTTCTGAGCGTCACGTGAACACAAACAGCTGAATGTTTCTCTCTTCATCCGGAGTTTCTCCTCCAGCCTCCTCGTATTTATTCTGCAGAAAGTCAGAGTGAGCTTCTCCACTCTTTAGATCACATTGAGATTCTGTTCAACTACACGTAGCATTGATAGAAAGACACATATTCTCATTATAGCGTCATATAGAGGACTCTGTTGCTTCGCCTGCTACTTCCGCGTCCCTCCTGTCTGACAGCGAGTCTCCTGCTGTGAGGTGCATTTATGAAAACCAGATCAGGAGAGTATCCGGAGCAGTCCTCCTGAAATGATCTCGATATTTTCAGGAGTGCATGTTTGAAAACGTCTTTAGTTTCTTCTTCATTGTTGTGCACTGTCAGTGTGTCGGCCCCCGCTTCAGAGAACCCCTGCAGTCAGCAGGTTTTATGACTTTAGCTAAGTGCTCTCTATTTACTTTGCCTTGCACCCCTCTCCCCCTCCCCCACCCCCCTGCTCTGTAAAAAGAGCTCGAGTGTTGACACTGACCACGTCCAAACTCATGTTCTCTTTCATCAGGAGGAAAGACGCATTATGAAATATTACTCTGCGATGTTGAGCTCCTTTATCATGTCTGCTTCCACGACTTTAATACATGAATAAAGGTTTGAAGGCATTAAACTCAACATTAGAGTATCTTATCTCTTCGTTTTGATCTTGTTGCTTTCAATATGCTTTTGTCCTTTTTTATGGATCATGCTTATTTTTCAGATTTTGATCCACTGCTGTCGCTTTAAAGGGGACATATTATGAAAAGTCCACTTGTACAGTGTTTTTAAACATATATCTGGGTAACCTGAGTGTCTACTGGCCCAGAAAATGTGAAATAAATCCATCCAGTCCTTTGTTTGTGGTCTGCATAAGTCTTAAAACACAGAGAAAATTGTATTTGTCATTGCATTTAAAGAGACACACACACCAAAACGGAGCGTTCTGAGAGAGCTGGTTTATACAGGGTCACAAACCTCCTCTGGTGCTTGATTCATGTTATATTTTGACCAAAGCACAGATGTTTCATTTAGACCACAGGGGACTGTTTGAAAAAGTGGAAAAGGGGATAATATGTGCTCTTTAAAGCTTATGGAGTATTTTGCAAAGCTGAAATCCTCTGTTTCAAGGCTTCTGAGACCATTAGATGATAACTCTCTGCCTCTTTTGTCTTCTCTCTCTCTCACAGCAACGTGATCCTCACAAACGAAGCTCCGAAGACTCAAAAGTAAGATTTCCCGTCATGGTTTGAGGGTCCTGGATGAAACGATAACATTTAAACACCTCCTCTATAAATCACTTTCACCTGTAATGACAGCAGCACTTTGTCCCGGCTCGGAGAGTTAAGAGTCATGAGTGTTGAGCGCTCCGACACAGACACGCTGAAGCAGCTGTGTTGTCTTAGCTTGTATACTCTGGCCGTGTTTCTCGCCCCGCACTGACTGCAGAGTTTTCCAGCAAAAACATGCAGCCTTTGAGGTTTTGAGTGTGTGATGTGTGGACAGTTACACCCTCGGCATTTAAGCACATATTTATAACCATTAAGTCTGACGTGCATCCAATGAAAGCCTCCCTTTATGAGCCACTCTGGACTGATTTTTTTAATTGGTTTTAAATTGTGTAAGGTTGATAAGGTCGCAGTCATTATGAACAGATAAAGCTCCAAACCTTTTTTCAGTCTTTGTGCTTTTCCGTCGTTTGTTCTGGACATCTGAATGTGCTGCCCGTTTCTCTTTTAGAGTCTGGTGGGGCACAATGAACAGGGGGCCCCTCCCACCAGCGTTGATCTCTGTGATGTTAAAAGTAATCATATAATTCCTCTTCCTCTTGACTTCCATTGACAAACATTTTCGCAGTAATAATGCATGTGATGCTTATTAGGACAACAAGATGCTGTCAGATGGTGCACCCTCAGGGAGGTTTCCTACAGTCATTGCATTTTTGTACTCGCTGTTAGTGTTGTAGTACCTGAAATTGGTCTTGATCTCAAGACCGGTATAAAGACCACTTTTTGAATGTCTCGTCTCGTAATCAAAAGCATTTTTACTCTGTCTTGTCTCGGTCTAGCCCCACCTCGGTAAAAGGGAGTTGCTAACCTTAATCTAACCTTGATGAAATGAAACCATGAATGACTGTTTCCAGGAATGGCTTGATTTCAGAAATGTGTGATGTAGAATAACAAAATGTAATGGTCAGATACATTATTATCAATGTCTTTGTGTTTTCTCCGTCAGGTGATGGTGATGCAGGAAGGATCCACCTCCCTGTTCGGACAGCACCTGAAGCTGCCCACCCTCCCCAACAGCTCGCTCACCTCCACCTTCTCCGACCCAAAGAAGAGCAAGAGCTTCCACGGTTCAAAGGTCAGTCGATGTTTCCAGGTACAGCCTGGAGCTAGAAGAGAATGCTGCTCCTCTCAGCCCCACCCTGCTCTGAAACTTTTCACCCCAGTCACAGTCTCCAGGCCTTTAATCCCTCACATATTTGGCAGCTTCAAAGACGTCCAATATATTTAAACTCAGGGATTTCAAAGACATCCAACTTTGGCTTAAGCAAACTATATCTTGGCTGTGGCTCAGTTGTAAGTGCTGCTCGGCCTCGGGGACGTGCTGTGAATCTTTGACTACCTGTGGGGGTTTGAAGAGGTTCTTGTTTAACTCTCATTTATAAACTCTGTTTGCTTTGAAGGCTCAGACAAAAACAAGCAAAACCCAGAGGTGGAAATGCTGGAAGAGACGGTGCAGAAGCTCTGCAAAGATTAAAAAACATTATCTGGTGCATGTCAATAAGCCGCCATGTTGTTTCCATTATGTGTTATTTTTAGTCTCTTTAAATAGTGTCATTTAAGAGCCGCGTTAGGAGAGGCCCATTTCACATGGAAACAGTTTCCAGTCCAAACACAGAGTGTGTGATGAATTACTTCTGGAGCAGCAGGTCTCCCCTCCTCCTCCCTCCCTCTCTCCTCTTTTCTCTCTCTTCCCATATGCTGTGAGTTATTGCTCTTGTATTACAACAAATCAGATAAACTTGAAATAAATCAGAAGTGTCGCAAAAAGGTCCCAGCTTGAGATGTTCCTGAAGTCGTCTTCTGCAGATTTAGGTTTAGGTATGAATAATGAACATGACTCGTGCAGAAAGCAGGGAGGGAATGGGGAAATAAAATAGTCAAGTCATGTTTATGTATATATAGAGAGATATGTGTAGGATATACTCTAATTATTTATGGTTTAGCCTAAATCTTGAGCAAAGAGAGATGTTTTTAGTCTACTTTTAAAAGAAGACACAGCTGTAGCAGACCTTAGTTCATGTGGTAAAGAACTCCAGAGAGTCAGACCATAACAACTAAAAGCACCACAAGCTGATCAGGATCTGATTTTGGGTTTGGTGAGAAGACCTTTATTTGACGATGTGAGAGAGCTGTCTGCTGTGTGCTCAGTCAGCATGTCAACAACGTAGGAGGGAGCTCCGCCATTCATAGATTTAAAAACAACACACATTGTAAACTCAAAAAGTAGTGCTGCTTCTCTCCTTATTCAGGTTTGGGAGTGCAGTGACGCTTTAAGTTTTCATGCAGGATGAAATAAACTAGGTCTAAAGGAAGGTTTGACTAGTGTGAGCTCGGTACACTTCCTCGGCTCTGGCACGCTTGGAAAAGGTTTGCTTCAGCACGGTATAGTTCATGCACGAGCATGGATACACAACGAGGACAGCCTTCATTCAGGAGAAATTTCAGTGTTCCTGCTGTATCTGACTAACATGACTCAAATTAAGACTCAAAGTCAGTAAAGTAGCTGTCATGTTCTCTGTGTTGTTCTCTGATGTGCGTCCCTTTTTATTCATTATTTTCTTGGAGTCCGTCTGTCTTGTAAACTGAGCACGCTTCATCATTACATAAAGCCATGCATGTGTAGTATCACAACGTAATGTACAAGAGGTAACCATGCTCAGGCACGGTTTGTCCTGGAGCAGTGTGAGTGCAGTCCAGCAGGGGAATGGGGAGATGGGACAATCGTGTTTATGAAAGGTATGAGACAACTTTTCCCCTACCTGCCAGAATTTGCCAGAATTTTTCTTCACATTTTCAGGAGTGCATGTGTGAAAACGGCTTTAGACTAGCTATCGACAAACAGGTTTGATGGAATGAAAACAGGTGTGCGTCTGGTAGAGCCCCCCAGTTCATCTTGCCGTAGTTAATTGCTGAGATTATCTGTTAGAGGACGGGCAGGAAAAGAGAACTGGAAGCTTGTAAGAAGCAAAGGGACCAAAAATAAAGTGTCCCTTTTCCGCTGGTGTAGCTCAGCTCACTTCAGTGGAGCATGCAGGTTCGAGTGTAAATTCATGACTTCCAAATTGAAGGGAATGTACCTGGGAAGGTGGTTACAGTAACGGTACCAGTCGCCTGTCTTGAAAATCCCCTGGTCCTGAAAGACCGAACCCGGCTGTCGTGCCAAAACAGACATTAAAATGCGTCTGAGTGATGTAAAAAAAATCTAAAAAAGTCATGAATTCAGCTCTGGTAACTCCACTGAAATCACTAAAAGTCTATTGTTCTGTGTGATATGATTCCTAGAAAGTAACGGTGCATTCAGGGTGAGTTTGCAGCTATGGCGTGCTTTCAGTTCCACTCGGCACGGTCAGAGAGACTCTGCCGTTCTGGTCCTGTCAATGATTTACATGAACTCGGGTCACCTGCTAACCTGCTAATGTCACGGTGCTTAAAGGTTCTTTAAAAAGTGACACTTTAGTGATCTCGTCTTCGCTGACGGCGGTCCGAGCCTCAGTCCTTCCCCCCCGGCCAGAGCACTAAACCAGGTTTTTTTATGTCGGGGTGGAGAATCCAGCTGCAGTTCAGAACGAGCTGGCAGCTTTACATCCTGAGGTCAGCGGTCACCGGCAGATAGAACAAATGAAAGGTTTTTAAAGGTGCTCGGTTGAAGTTGTAACACGCCCCGTCGTCTAGACTGCTTTAATGGGTTTACTGCTGTGATGAAATATTGACAAGGGGGCTGGAGGTGCGACCGGGGTGGGGGGGTGGGTGGGGGGGACCCAAACAAATGGCCCCCGTCGTTTGGAGGAATGCTTTTCCTCTTTTCTCCACATTGCCCTTCGCTCCACTTTTAAGGGTGTGCGTCTGTTGAAAAGGCCCCCTTCACCCGGCTCAAAAGAAGCCCCGAGTTTGCTCTTTAAGCCCGTACATGGGGGCTAAGAAGACCCTTTTGATTCTCTCCAAAGAATGGACCACTACAGATGATAATGCCAAACTGCGGGGAGGCACGCATGCTTCCTGCAGAGGATTAATTGTCATTTGACCGAGCTGCCTGTTTTTTTTTGCTCACTTTGTAGTTTTCTAAATCAAACATGATGCGATCAGAAAGAAGGAAAGGTGACAACAGAAGGATGCAAAGTGAGGTTTAGAAAGTACTTGAAAGGGGGGCGTTGGTAGCCTAGTGGTTATAGTGTACGCACCCCATATACGGAGGCTATAGTCCTCCAAGCAGGCGGCCCGGGTTCAAATCCGACTTGTAGCTCCTTTCCCATTAATCTCCATTTCCTATCTCAACGATTTACGACTCAATAACTTTACTGTCTCTAAAATAAAGGCATAAAAATATAGCCTCGTGGTTATGCTAGGCGCCCCATGTACAGAGGCTATAGTCCTCATCGCAGCGGTTGTGGGTTCGAATCCGACCTCGGCCCTTTGCTGCATCCCCCACTTTCTCCTGTCTCTCCAATAAAGGCAAAACCTGATGATTAGCTTCAGTCTCATGTCCTAGATTCTCATTTTTTTTTATCCTTCAATCCACAGGATGGTTCCAAAGGAGGTGGCCCTGCCCTTCTCACCACCGCCACGACCACCACCAGCACCAACAGCAGCAGCTTCTCCAAACTCCACAAACCCTCCAAGGACCACAAAGAAAAGCCTCCTAAAGACTTGAAAGAGCCCAAAAGTGCCTTCAGAGACTCTGGCTGGGAATCCAGCAAAGCCCCCAAAGAACCTTCCAGGAAACCCAAAGAGAACCAGCCACTGAGAGATATCAATCCTAAGATGGGCTTCAAGGAACCCAAGTCTTTGTCCAAGGAGCACCGGACTGAAGGGATGACCCACGGGTCAGGGCTTAACAAGCGTCTGTCAACAGACACTGACGATCATGTGACCAAAAAACGTAAAAAGGGATTTGTGGATTCATCAGGGAAGCCGATGTCGGACGCTCAGCTTTCGGATAAGAAACTCTTGAAGGATAGATCGCAGATCCGAACGAGTAAATCGAGACCAGAAGGGGAGGAGACGGAACGCAGGAAGCTTTCCACACTCCTGCCCCCATTCCAGGGACTGGTGGACCCCAACGACTCTGATATGGAGGACCATTCCAACAAATCAGATGTAAGTACAGTGTGCTTTTGTAATTATTTTAGAGCTTTGAGTGTTATGAAGATGTTAAAGGTCTGGATCTGTTTCAATGGGGAATTCTGAACATGTGCCATGTCTTACATATTTGACCGGCTGGGTACCAAAGATCTTTTTTATTTACACATTGGATATTGCTTTATCTATTAGCTATGGACAGGAGTTCCCAAACTTTGCTGTGCAGAGGACCCCCATACAGCATTAACCTCAGACGAGGACCCCCCTCTTGCACGATTACTTAAATTCCTTGGACATTACGATGGCACCTCACCTTTTGAGGAGCTCTGAGACTTATTTAAACTGGTTGAAGAGGAGGAGTAATTGCTGAAAAAGAGCCAGGTTTGGAATTAAGAGTAGAGCAGCTGATTTATTTGATGCAAACACCAGAAACCAATTTACGTTTTTATCACACTGGAGGTTTAGGAAAGCCAGCACGTTGGACTTAAGAGTTCTTTACAGGAAAAAGTTTTGGAGGGAGGGGTTGCTGTTGGTATCCAATTCTTCCAAGGAGTTTAGAAGGGGGGGGGGGGGGGGGGTTTGTTAGTGGTCAGTCCTCCCTCTGCGTAAAAACGGTTGTAAAATCAAATAACCTACAGGGAGAGAATCCTCTTTAATGGTGGTCTGCAGGACTCCATGAGGGGGCTGGGCGGGGGGATTGGAACCAATAAACCTGGTGGGAGTTCAGCTGCATTCGTCTGGGTGGCCAAACAGGATAAAGTGGGCAAACAATGTAAAGTTCTGTTGATTTATTGAGTGAAAATAGCCGATTTGTGTTAGATTTGTTTTAACTTTAGGTCATGAAGTGTCTTATTCAAGACCCCACCAGAAGTCACATACACCCCCATTCATAAAAGTCTGTTTTTACAGCAGAGATTAACATGTTTACAGCCTGGTTCAAAAAACCACATAGGTCTGATTAGTTCATGTCTCGATCGACACACACTGTACGGGGGGGTGACTGTTTTGATGACTCATCAGTTTTGATTTAATGAAGGATAAGAGTTATTCACAATAAGGCGTGTAGCTGACCTGAGGAACAGGAGGGCTTTTTGGTTTTGAACACATCAGAAGCAAAAGTCCTGGGCACCACAAAGGGAGTGATCTCTTGTTTTTAATTTCCCCCAAATTACTCCTGCACATTGTCTAAATTGCACAAATACATTGGCAACGTTTTGGTACGTGCAGGGATGCAATTTTCTGCAAGCAAACTCATCATTAGGTAAATGTGTCTGAATTGAGAAAAGTCCTATTTGCTGACCTGTGTGTTTGGCGGACCATTGCTGCGCTCTCTCTCGCTTTTGTTTGTGGCAACTGCTCAGAGCCAGGCCAGTATCGGGGCCCCCTGAGGGCTGACAAACATCAAACGACAGCGGTGGTTCAAAACATGTAAAGTTTGTAATGACACTAGGAAACCTGACAGCACCCACTCTTGTTGAGCTGCTAAGCTCGCATGCATTTTTAAAACATGATGTTTGTTCTTTGACGTTTAACATCACTGTGCCAATATGTCCGCTCCGCTGGCTGTAACCGAATCGAGTGCACACCACCAGTAGTCAGAGTCGCTGTTGCAGGGGGAGAATTTTTGCCTAGCGCCCCAACAGACTCTTGAATGGGCACTGGCAATATGGATTGAAAGTATAACTTTAGATCTGTTTTTCCAGAAGTTTTGGTACTCCTTGATCCTGTTGAACATGAGGTCGTATCGTTCTAAAACACGTGGCATCAAAAAACGTTTGACAACCTTGGAGGGAGCAGGATTAGAAAATCTTTATTTCTACAGTGGCTCCTTTCATGAATAGGCCGGGTTGCCTGGTCCACACTCACTCAGTGCAGAACTTCCCCATAAAAGAGGGGGCTGTTTAAAAGCCAAACAGTCGACTAGAAAGATTTATGGTTTTACAACACCTGAGGAGAAAGAAGAGCCGCGGCGGTGAATAGCAGAGAGTTCCCCTTTAATCCTTTTAGCTTCTCGGAGAAGAAAAGGGTGAAGAAAGGTCTGAATCCCCGGGCTTTGAGCCGCTTTCTTTTATGTGATTTTCATTCCTTTTCTCAGATGCGTGTATAAAGCGTGGCTCTTTCTGTGTGTGTCTTCTCTGTAGGGGCAGCTTGTTTAGCCGGGGGAGTTATTACCTAGCACTAGCAGGGACTGTGTTTTTGTCTGCGCTCGATGTAAATGCCTTTTAAGTTTTCCCATGCAGGAGGCTGGGGTTTGGTGGGGAAGGGGGGGGTGGTTGTTAAAGGGGGATGTGGGGTGACAAATGCCAGGTGTTTGATTCTCCCCCGGTGGCCGACACAGAGCTCCGCTCTCGTTTTTTTTTTTTTCTTTCTCATGTGACCGCTTGTTTGATCTTGGTCTGTTCCGCTGAGCGCCAGCCGGGGCCAGAAACAGCACAGAGGAGGAAATGTGGAGAAGGTGATGACATGAAGGGAAAGCAGGCCAGTGTGTTAGCATGAGAACCTGGTTGTTAGCACGCTGGATGTGGGTACTGGCTGAGTGATCCGTCACCTGCACACGCTTGAGAAGACGTTGTTTTACAAGTGTGACTGAGATATCGTTCTGAACAACAGCAGAAGAAGAAGCAAGTTAAATATCTGTCGCCTGGTTTGATCACACAGAAGGCCTGCAGAATGAAACAATCTGAGGTGCAATGAATAAATAAATAAATCTAATATTCAATTTTAGTAATTTTACACATGCACAAACTCTGTATCTCACAGAATGAGCATGTTGGCGTTGTCTGCTCCCTCTGCATCCTGGTTTCACACATAAACTGTTTCACACCACACTGGGGTAGCCGTGCAGCACTAATTTAAATAATGGTATGCAGCCATTATGTCCTCCTTCTAACTATAGATTCTGGTCCTGAATGCTCTGGATTTGTTTGGACCAGAGAAGGTAGGCGGTTTTAAGGCGACCCCCCCACATGGCCGTTTTGGATGCCCCACAGTTTGTCAGATATGAGAGCAGTTATCAGGTCAACAGGTGTTGCAGTGATGGAAGCGGGCAAGAGAAGTGGTTCAGATAGAAGTGATTGTACCCGACCTAAAAAGCCTCTGCATGTTTCTAATAAGCTCCACGAGCAGAAACGTGCTCAAACTAGGATCAATATTGGAGATGCTTTTGAAAAATGGAGAGAGGTTAGAACACAGAAAGGTTTACAGACTGATGCAGAGCTGGATAAACACTGAAGCTTCAGTATCCACCACATGGTGACCTGTGAGAGCATGGACTCTAGAGAGGAGGGGGAGGGGGGAGACCGCTCTCTACAATGTTTAGAATTGTGACTGCAGTACCCATTTTAAACACTAGGTGTCAGAGTTACATACTGCTCCTTTTAACATTTGATTTAATCAAAAAATTTGACTAATTTAGACACAAAATTTGGAAATCATTTTAAGATAGCAGTGCAATCTCTCTATAAAATGTTATTCTTTGGGGTGCCTGCAGCCTGGTGTTTAGAGTGTGCGCCCCATGTGCAAAGTCTGTGGTCTTCGGGGGAGGTGGTCTGGGTCCTTTCCGACCTTTCAGAAGTCTGACAGTTCAACCAAACCTAGAAAAAGTTAAATGTCACGTGCCACATACGAGACTTTTTGCCACCTTCTTTCATACACCGCTGATGAATCAGGATGAGCAACTTGGGGTTAAATGTCTTTCCCAAGGGGACACATTGGACATGTAGCTGCATGAGCTGGGGATCGAACCCCTGACCTTCCTATTGAGAGACGACCGACTCTACCAGCTGAGCCACAGCCACTCCAAGATCCATACAGGCAATGCCCATCATGAAAACAGCACAGATACATAAATACATGCATATAAAACATTCCTCCCATGGATGTCACGATGATGGACATGAGGGAGAGGCTCATTTCAGTGCCATAAGAAAACTCCAACATCTCAAAGATTTTGGCCATTTGACACATTAGTGTTTCAAAGCGAGGCGTTTGAGTGTAAAAGAGTTGTGTTTGTTTGTCTTCAGTGTCGGCCTGAAAAGCGTCCTCACATTGAGATAACTCTGTTTGGACAACCCCCGCTGGATCGGACAAGCTAACTAAGCGGGCTCCGGTCAGTTTGTTGGCATGGCTTTCTCCTCGTCCGCCCTAACTGTGCCAAGAGTTAAGAGATGAAGCCAGATTGATGCCAACAAAACTCAGACTAAAGACTGTTTATTGTCTTTGAAGAGGGCAGCTTTGGTGGCTCTGAGTGAAGCGGGACAAAAGGCCTAAAGAGGCACGGTGGTGAGATTTATGGCGCTGTGAAGAAGCTGTCCCATAAACCAACAGACCAGCTGTGTGCCGTTTGTTGGCAGGAGGTGACGACCATTGAAGTCGCTCTTGCCTTTTGTCCTCACTTCTCCCCATTTCTCTCATGTTTCTTCTCCACGCTCGCTCTTCTTCTCCCAACTCGGGTTTGTGGTTTGCAAATGAACATCTAAGAGTGTTTTAAACTCCCCCTCGGACTGACACAGTGACACGTTTTAAAGTCCCGCCCCCAGCTGTGGGAGATAACATTTTCTATGAACGTTGGGAATTTGTTAACCAAATGATTGCATAGAGAACGCCAGTGCTGCCCCACTCCCGAGTGTTGACGAGTTGAATCTCCAGTTGCGAGGAGCCGAGTTTTGTTTTGTTTTATTTTTCACCTTTGACCTTTTGTTTTCCTTTAAACTGTAAACTTTGCTAACTAAAAACAACCCTCAAATGTAAATCTTTCACCTGGCTCTGTAATTAAGCTCAGGAAAATGTAGAATCTGTACTTGGGGGAGGGGGGTCTAGGTTTTAGTATGAGAGGTCTTCTGGTTTTTCGGTTTGTAGTACATTTGTAGTCTGAGTAGTATTGACCAATCAGGTATCAGCTGGCTTTGGTGTATGCAGGAAAAACAGTCTGCAAAGAGACCAAGAACAGGCAGAACAAAATCTATCTTAACGACGCCCCATCTCCCATCAGCGGTCATCCTGCAGTAACCCTTACCCCGTCAAATATTTGACTTTGAAGGACACGTCTGCTTGACTCTTTGTTGCGAACGCTAATAAGCGTTGAGATTTCCTGGTGCCAGCCCTAGTGTATAGCCTAGTGTACACACCCCATATACAGGAACTGTAGTCCTCCAGGTGGGAGGCCAGTGGTTCAAATCCGACCTGTGGCTTCTTTCCTGCAAGTCCTTCCCCACTCTCTCTCTCTCTCTTTCTCTCTCCGTCCAATCTTGGGATGGACGCATAAAATGCCAAAAAATTCAATCTTAAAAGAAAGATTTCCTGACACCCTGTGGTGCTTCCTGCTTCAGTCAGCTTGCTCCCTGATTGGCTATTGGTTTGTTAAAAATGAGAATCCACATATTGTGGGCTCGGCTGTCCTCGGTGTTCTCCCTACACAGCTGGAATTATGATCGTAAATATTTCAAATCAGGGCGGACCCCGATCATCTTCTAAGCAGATCATGGAGGGTAAAATCACTCACACCTCACACCACGGGAACATCTGGACAGATCATCTGTGGGACCTTCAGATAATCAGGCCTTTGCTGACTGGTCGGAAAGGGGGGTAATCATAATCTGGTAGCGTGTACCCCGTTTAACTTATTATTTAGAGTCAGCTGAGACTCATAAGAAACAGATGAACGGGCGCTCCTCTGAGGAGAGCGTTTATTATGCAGACATATCTCGAGGGAGGATTTAGCTTCTCTTTGATCTGGACACACGGGTCATTCCTCAACATGGACTGTAAACAATGCAGCACAGGGAAAAGGAAGTCCACTAACCGCTGGCAACAAAGAGAACGCCCGACAAGTAAGCGGTCGTTCCCTCCGGCGTACTTCATCGTTAACTGATATCGATACCTGATGGACTGAAATGGAAGTGCATTTAACTTCTACTCAGAAAGACGAAAACTTCAGTTGAGATTATTATTCTAAACTTTGTCTCATTTAATGTGTATTTTATTGTTCCTAAATCCAGCTTTTTTTTTCTTCCAGTCCGAGCAGCCCAGTCCAGCCAGTTCCAGCTCCAGTTCAGGCTTTGCTCCCACACATCACAAACGACAAGGTAAAGATCTGCATCATGCACACAGAAAACGTTACAGCTGACCTCATGTCTATTGTCTTTTAGTGCTTTATTTTCCAAACTGTGGTAGAGTTGTAGTTATGACCACAGTAACTCAGACCAAGACTTACCCAAGACCAGAGTGCTCGGGACAAGACCAAGATTTCTGTCGACCAGTCGCTGGCCTTTGGTTGTCAAACCAGACGAGATGAAACGTTTTTAAACCTTCTTATCAAAACCATAAATTTAAATATTTGATTGTATTTTCATAACGCTTCGTTGTACTCAGCTTGACTAGATAGAGCCGCCTCCTTGTCCTCGGATAAGTACTTTAGATACTCGGCTTCAACCTGATGAAACTTTAACACCTGTTGTTTAACCCCGAGCCGCTGCAGGTGTTAAAATATTCTTGCAGAAAAATCAGTCTGGTCCATGTGTGTGTATTTTGAAGCGTCTCTTTCTTGAGGGTGACGTCTGCTTGTGTGTTTGTGATCCTCTCTGGGTGCAGTGGTCGACTTCATCATCAGGAAGAGGGTGGCTCTTCCTGCCACCACCCAAACAGGTAACAGCTCCTCTGAGACCTGTCAGGACCCTCCCCTCCCATCACACACACACACTCACACACACACACACACACACCTGCATGGGGAACATCTTCACAGCTTGTCCACATGCATGAACACTCGTGCATCATCTTGCAAAATCGCTGTAGTACATCAAGGATGTGATTCCACCCTGCAGAGCATTTGTGTCGTCCTGCTGCTGATGTCTGAACGTGTGAGCAGGAGTTCACTAAAGGCTCTGACACACCGAGGAGATCGTCGGCCGTCGGTCCTAGTTGGGCCATCGGTGAGCGGTTGACTCGTTGTAAGGCAAAGCAAATGCATTTATATTTAACGGTGTTGCAGTGGTTAGTGCTGTCCCCTCTCAGAGAGGAGGTTCCTGGTTTGAATCCCAGTCTGACAGGAGCCTCTCTGTGTGGAGTCTGCATGTTCTCCCTGTTCATGTGTGGGTTCTCTCTGGGTACTCCGTCTTCCTCTCACAGTCCAAAAACATGCTCGTTATGTTAACTGCTGACTCTAAATTGCCCGGAGGTGTGAATGTGAGTGTGGCTGGTTGTCTGTCTCTATATGTCTGCCCTGTGATTGGCTGGTGAACAGTTCAGGGTGTAACCCCGCCTCTTGTCCAATGACAGCTGGGATCGGCTCCAGCACCCCGAATGGGGAAAGGATGAGCGGTGTGGTGTAGACGATGGATGGATGGATGGATGTCAGCAACAAAGCAATTCAAAGTGCTTCAAACACAGACATCAGAAGCGTCATGATAAAGGGAAACTTGGGGGATGACGGTGGCCTAGTGGTTGGTGGGTGCACCCCATGTGCGGAGGCTCTGGTCCTCCAAGCGGGCGGACAGGGTTCATCCTGCATCCAGCATCCTTCCTCCTGACAGCACGACCTTCGTGGTCATGGTCGTTTCTTTCTTCTTCATTTAAAACATAAAACTCATCGTCTGTGTTCTGTGTCTCTCTGAAGTGTTGGGCCCGCTGCAGTCGGTCATGCAGGATCTGCACTCAGACGACAACGACGATGATTCAGAGGAGGACGACGACAACGACATGGACTCTGACGTGGAGCGCCCTGTGCACATGCATCACACACATCACCAACGCAGGTCAGGAAACGGTCGTTACTGTCGAGTGCATGAAACTATGAGATGACTTGAGTATGTATTTTAGATGTGCTGAAATCCTCTCTCTCTCTCTCTCGTCTGAACATTCAGGGTCAGTTTGAGTGACGGCAGTGAGAGTGACAGCTCATCGCCTTCACCTCCGTCACACATCGAAGCCCCACCCTTATTGAAGACTACTAACCAGGTAAGAAGACATTTTTGTGAGACCCCTCAGAGGGAGCTCAGGTGAGGACGCTGCTTCATGTGTTCACTTTGTCCTCTTGTCAGATTCTGGAGGTGAAGAGTCCGAACAAGCCGAATAAACAGGACAAGAACAGAAACCTGGACTGTGACAAGGTACACGTTCTCTTTTTTATAATAATAATTATATAACAATCTGGAACTTTTCCACCTTAACACCAGTTGTTTCAAATGTCGATTTAGTAGCACAATAACTGATATATTAAATATCTGTGCTCAGGAGGATGCAGACGTCCCACAGAAGCCAGGGTCTTTGCTTTACTCCGACCTTTGGTACGGAAAAACACATGTTCTCACTTGTAAATAAAGTCATCTGTAACAAGGTAGAAGGACACTCTTGAGCCTCAGACGCTCCACAAATGGAGGTCGGTGAAGGACCTTAGTCCCCATGTCCAGCTATTACTGTTTTCCAGCGTCTTTTTTCAGTTGTTTTTAATGAAAGAGCGTTCTAAGCAAGAGGCGGCCACCCGCAGAAAAAGTAACGGAGTGGGGTGCTGGTGGCACAGTGGTTGGAGCTTGCGCCCCATGTATGGAGGCCTCAGTCCTCCAAGCGGGTGGCCACAGGTTCGAATCTCACCTGTGGCTCCTTTCCCGCATGTCATTCCCCACTATCTCTCAATCAAAGCCCCAAAATAAAAATCTTTGGAAAAAAAGTAACGGAGCAGTGTCGGTCAACAGACTGTTGTCATAGAAACAGCACGGATGTGCAGCAATTTTCTTCTCAGCGCACAACGCTTCATGCAAGAGCACCAAAATGCACAGCCATAATTCAGTGGACTCACTAAATGCACATTTTTCACTGCGTTGTTCGTCCTTTGCACCTAAATATATTCACTTTAAGTGATTCGTGTGCTCCAGAACATTCTGTGGATCCGGCCTGAGAGAAGGAACACACTGAATTCTATTTGAATCAGTAGCTTTGTTTGCATGTGCAAGTTTCTTCAATCTGATTATCCTGCAGTCGATCAACAGAGTTCAGGTCTGCAGGACCTTCAGACATTAAGGATTCAGGAAAACACGATGGCATCAATACGTCCATATTGATCCGAACAGCGATCGGCATAACCTGACGGCACCCGTCACTACTGATAGATGTGTTTACATGAAGCATTTTATATTCTGATCATTTGTGTCCATGACAACGTAGCGACCGATGTGACACCCTCGATAAAGAGTGTAAAAGTGTTCAGAGATACTCTGCTGCCAGGGAGGATTCTGGGTAAACTGGATAAACGTGAGCTGATTGTCTCTTCTGTATGTCTTCAGTGTGAAACTTATCCAACATGTTTCCGTGTGTTTCTCAGGCATACCTCGATGAACTGGTGGAGCTGCACAAACGACTGATGACACTAAGAGAAGGACACATACTGCAGCAGGTGTGTATTAAAACTCAGCATGCAGCCGTGAGACTGAAGGAGTTCCTCTGTGATTATTAAACTAAACATTGTAGAGAGAGTCTCCCCCCGCCCCCTCCTCTCTAGAGTCGATGCTCACACAGGTCACCATGTGGTGGACACTGAAGCTTCAGTGTTTATCCAGCTCTGCATGGGTCTGTAAACCTTTCTGTGTTCTAACCTCTCTCCATTTTTCAAAAGCATCTCCAATATTGATCCTAGTTTGAGCACGTTTCTGTTCGTGGAGCTTATTAGAAACATGCAGAGGCTTTTTAGGTCGGGTACAATCACTTCTATCTGAACCACTTCTCTTGCCCGCTTCCATCACTGCAACACCTGTTGACCTGATAACTGCTCTCATATCTGACAAACTGAGGGGCATCCAAAACGGCCGTGTGGGGGTGTCTTAAAACCGCCGACCTTCTCTGGTCCAAACAAATTCAGATCATTCAGGACCAGAATCTATAGTTAGAAGGAGGACATACTGGCTGCTGCATTGTTGTCAGAGAAGCCAGCACTTCAACATAACATGTTTCCTTAATGTCTGATCATATAGTAAGATCACTTTATCATTTCACTCTCTACACATCTTACTGATTGAAGCTTTAATGTTTCTAAGTGTGCACTGAACAGATAATAAAAGGGTTCAGTGTCTGTTTGAAATGTTTCTCTTGTGGATGTAACATGTGGACTGTGTTAGATGTAAACTCTGAGCCTTTAGAAGTATCAGATATCCAGTAAGAAAATGTTCAGTGTAGTGGAGGTTTGGCTCTAAAATCAACTCCGATGAAAGATCTCCACTGAACCGCTAAGCTGCAAATAAAAAGAAATGAAGTATACATTGGCTACAGTCCCGCAGCTCTCCCTGATCTCACCATTGCATCGCTACGCGCCCGTACGATTGGTCAGCTGTGTCGTCGTGTCGGATTAGAAGAGGAGCTGTGACCTGTTACAGAGCTGCTCCAATCTGGAAGCGATGAATTATTTGGTTAACCTCTGTCCACCTGAGAGATTGCGTGTTTCTCGCTGATATTTGCGAGGCCTCTCGTATGACCGTATTCGCAGATCTTCCCTGAAGCGGCTGCCAACTGGTGCCTCGCTCTCTCTCCTCTTAACGAGACGGCCTGGCTCAGAGAGAAGGCAGAAATCCCATCCAGAGCAGCATCACGGCCTCGACTCTCAGCTCTGTAATCAAGCTAATCTAACAGAGTTCAGCGACTGGCTCCACATCCTGTTACAAGAGATGGAAATGATTAACTCACAGCCTCTCCTGCACGCTGCTGAGGAGCACACAGGGCAGCATGTGGAGCTCCGTACTGTCCCCGGTGAGAAGAGTGCAGACGGAGGAACAGAACAAGATTTTGGAAGCTGCAACAACCTTTAAAACAAACGACAATGAGAATCAACAAACCAGATCAAAACCAGGCAACAAACTCTGCTGTTGAAAAATGAAACCAATGAGTAAGTGCTGAAACCTGCAGTTCCTCGAGTGTCCTCTTGAGGCTGCCTGCAGAAACCAGGAGGTCCCCATAGAGCCAGATGTTAAAATATGCATCATGACAGCAGAAATAAAGATGTTTACAGCCTGGTTAAAGAACAAGCTTTTCTCTCGTTGGCCTGTTTATCTGTTTTTACTATTAAAGCTAAAAAATTATACATGTGCATAATTAGGGGCGTGGCCGAGTTGACTGACAGGTGGGTGGGTCGTAGCGGTCGGTCCACCTCAGCTCCAGCTCTTCGCCCGTTTCCAGGGTGACCTTGAGGTAGTTGTTCTAATATGGCTACCACCATCGTTCAGCTTCATGACGCCTCTTCAGCACCACCAACACACCACATGCAGCTGGATTGTGACGCTGTGACTCTCACTAGCCACTTTGGCGGGTTGAATTTAAATGTATTTATTTTATCATAGTCGTCTCAAAAGCATGTGAAATAATAAACTGATGTGACACTACAACTCCCATGAGCGCTACCTTCACACAGTTTTTGTTCATCGGTCCATTACAGCAAAATTCCAGCAGATGCGTGTTCGGTCCGTCTCCGCCCTGTTCCAGTGCTGCGTCTCTGCTCCTGCAGTCCGGAGTCCTCCCTAGCTGCTACGCAAGGATTCTATTTCTGCAGGATGCCGGAGCATGACGCATCAATTTAGCACAGAAAAGATCGAACAGGACAGGAAGTCAGACACAGATACAACATTAAAACATCCGGTTTATTTTCAGAATAAAACACTAAATGGTTTTATAGTTTCATACCACATAACATCGTATCACCTCGCACTGTCGCGAGTGAATTTGTAAAATTACCACGGGAATTCCTTTGTCTCCGCACTCCAGCTTTCCTGTGATCTCCGTGCTGCGCAGCGAGAACGCATCCCGTGGGTGTTGACAGACAAGGATGCACAGAGCGGTAACGGAGCGTAGCGGACACGCAAAGCTCCTGACCACCTGTGGTCAGGAGCTTTACGTAGTGACCCGAGGAATAAGAGCGCGCATACCTGTAAAGGCGGCTTCTCCAGAGGGTTGGTGCGCTCGGCTGTAGAGAAAGGGGGAGGAGCTCGAAGTAGAGCCGCTTCTCCTTCTCATCCAAAGGAGCCAGTTTGATTAAGATCTTAGGTTTGGGCTTCTTGTGATGCCTCCTGGACGTTTTCCAGACACGCCCAACTGTCAGGAGATCCTGAAGTAGACCCAGAGCTCGCTGGAGGGATTATATATCCCATCTGGCCTGGGAACGCCTCAGAATCCCCCAGGAGGAGCTGGAAAACATTGCAGGGGAGAGGGGCTTCACCCAATGCGACCCGACCTCGGGTGGATTATTCATAAAACATTTCCAGTAAAAACCACTTTCACATGAAGGGTAAATGTTTCCATTGCAGAGGCTGTAACCGACTCTCTCCCTCTCTGTTTTCCAGATTGTGAACCTGATTGAGGAGACGGGACACTTCCACATCACAAACACGACTTTTGACTTCGACCTGTGCTCGTTGGACAGGAGCACGGTCAGAAAGCTGCAGAGTTACCTGGAAACCTCCGGACTGTCCTGAAGCTCTGAGCAGCTGGCTGCACGCAGACTTTTGATTCTTTTGTCTTTCTTGAATAAAACTCTGGATGCAATGCAAACGCCCCCCCGCCGTGGCCGGGTCCAGCTGCTGTGTGTCCGGCCTGCTGGTTGGACGGAGACGTGGTCCCGCTGTAGAAACAGAGCCGGGTGAGGCGGGGCGGATGAGGCCTGTCGATCAGGTGATCACCCAGGAAGCCTTTAAACAAAGTGAGGAGTGTCCGCCTTGTTGCTCTTAATGAATGTGCATAATGTTACCCAGTTTCCTGATTTGTTGTTCTTTGTGACAGATGCATGGTCGAAAAATGCCTTACAACATTGTAAGTCTTATTTATTGAATTTAATTTGCAGGTGCGTGCGTGTGCGTGCGTGTGTGCGTGTTTTTGAAAAGAAAAAGCAGCAGAATGAGACTTAGTTGAAGCACTTCACAACAGGCCTGTATTCAATCCAAATCAAACTCTGAACATTGAATTATCTCAACGGGAACAAAAAACTGCTGCGAGTATGTGAGCTCACATTTTGGAAGATTCAACATCCAACTCTGAATCTTTAAAGAATCATCCAGGGGTCCATGAAGAGGCAGAAGCACAGGGTTTCTTTTTAGTATAAAAGTAGGAGGTTCAGGACGGTCTTCATCTTTTGATGGAGAAGTTTTGGGTTTCTGCTCTGACTGGTTGAACTCTTTCCAGTCGCACTGACGTTCTGTTTAGTTCTTCCTTACACAACATGTGAAAGCATCATGCACGACCTACATCAGAACCTTAACGTGTTTGTGTCCCCCGTCTGTCCTGACCTCGTGCTCGGTCACCTTCATCGTCCTCTTTCTTCTCTTCATCTTCTCCGTGATATCCAATCATCAAACGACACAGCGCAGACCTTTAACCAGAGAAGTTTACCTTCCAAGATTTCTGCAAGAGGGCCGCTCCATAAAGATCATCATCAAAGCATTCAAGTTGAAACCCCTAAGCATAGTTTACAAACTGTTTTTAACGGGCTTCAGGATCTTCATCCTCACTTTAAAGAGATTTAATCCAGTCAGAAACAATATAAATACTAACCTGTAGTGTTGTAGTTAAGACCACACTAACCGAGACAAAGACATACTTGAGACCGGAGAGCTCCAAGGCCGAGACAAGACCAGGACCATAAATATCACTGAAAAATCACTTGTACCATAACAGCGGGAAGTTTGGATGCTTCAAACTATGAATGAATTGAAGTTAGTTGTTCTTTTAGAAAGAGGTGTTTTCCTGCTGGACAAGACAGATTACAAATGCTGTTGATTCAAAACAAGACCTTCAAAAAGTGGTCTCAAGACCAAGACTGATTTTGAGTACGTCAACACGAGTATCATGTGGCAGTTTTTTGTTCCCATATTTCGACTCGTCACAAACATACGGTGAGAGTCTGCTGCAGAGAGCCGAGCACAAATCAGGAGCGTCAAAGCTCTCGGAAACACTTTCCTTTTTTTAACCAAATCCAGGAGGAACGTCTGATGGGATCTGGTCATGCTCCAGGGCCGACCAAACATGCCGACTGCAGAGTTAGGAAAAGCTTCATCTCATGTTTGTCTGCAGAAAACGATGACAACATTGAGATTCTCAGAGCAGACTTGAGTAGCTTTCTGACGTCTGTGAAACAAACAGAAAGCCGATTGGCCGGTCGGCTGACAGGTGCTGTTACAGGTGTTTAAATAAAATAAAAATAAAATAAAAAAATCTTTTAATTTATTTAGTGGGAGTTTGAGTTGTTCAATCAAAGCATTAATTTTCCAATGAGAGAAGATTGATTTGATTTGTAACTTCTGCAGGATGAATGCTTTCCAAATGACCTTAAAGGGGTTTTTTGTGCCCTCTGTTCTGTCTCATGGTTTCTTGTGTTTTTTGAAGACATACGAAAAAATATTCTGTATGATGTACAGATGAGTTATTAAAAAATTTGTGGATCAACTGGCATCTTGATTTTTATTTATTTATACATTTCATCTTGTGCACAAACACAATGCGTGGATATCCGGCCAATTACATGATGCAAAAAAAAAACCTTCAGTTCCTCGGGTGTCCACTTGAGGCCAGCTGAAAAAGTGAGTCAATCCCCATTAGGGCTCATATTAAAATTCACATTTTTGCAACAGAAATGAACATGTTTACAGCCTGGTACAAAAACAGCTTTGCTCGGAATAGCTCCATAAACAGACCCACAGATTGCCCTTTTTATGACGAGCAGGTATGTGCAAACTTACTTTTTTTTTTCATATCAGTTTCATTTCAGCATAAATCTTACTTAAAGGTGACATATTCTCGTCCTCTTCAACCAGTTTAAATAAGTCTCAGAGCTCCTCAAAACATGTGTGTGAAGTTTCTTGTTCTAAATCCACTCTGATCCTGTATTTGATCATGTCTATAAACCCCTCAAATTTAGCCCTGCTCAGAACAGGCTGTTTCTGTGTCTGTACCTTTAAATATGTAAATGAGCTGTGTCTGACCACACCCCCTCTCTAGAAGGGCTTGGGTGTCTCGGTCTTTCTTGCTCCATGTCCTATTGTTTATAGTGAGAAGGCAGACTCAGGGCAGAACAAACACCTAGCTGTGGGAGTGTCACCCACCTGGGGGAGGGGCTACTGCCCTTTGTGATGTCATGAAGGGAAAATCTCCAAACAGCCTGTTTGAGCACACATTTTCTAAAAAGTGGAGCCGGCAAAAGACAGAGAGGATGGACTTTTCTCATCATTGGGGTTTTGTAGACGGACTAGAGACACATATTAGTGTTAGAGAAACATGGTAAAGAGTGTTTTGCATCATATGTGACCTTTGAAAGAACGCTCTTGCACACCTGACTTGATTATGAAAATGTCATCTTTAGTATGGCATGATATCAGGGCCTATTTTGGTTTGAGTGGTTTATTTAGAACAAGAATGATCGGGTATATTGAAAACACTTTTTGCTCCAAAACCTTGATTAAAGTGAAACTGTATCCGAGATTTTAAAAAAAAGAGTTTCTCACTCAGAACAAATTATTCCCCAAGAAGATGGAGTGATGGTTGCTGAGAAACACGTCAACTCCATTCTTCTTCAGTTCACTTCAGTCAACACGCTGTCGCTGATAAATATAGACTTTAAAATAATGGATTCACTGACACTTTGGGAGACGCACTGAGCTCCCAGCTGTCAGGACTGAATGAAATTGTTTGGAGGGTATGGAAGGTATGCAGAATCTGAGAAAAGGATGAATGAAAGGTTTTAGATATAACTTAAAGTCTACCTCGCAGGCATCGCTGGTGAAACTTTAATCCTCTATAATTAAAGAATAAAGGGAATAAAAGGTCAGAGAGTGTTTGAGTGATCACATTCCTGGATGATCTCCCTCCTGTAGTGGAAGACAGAATCTGTGCCGAGCGTGTTTCGAGCTCGGTGGGTGGTCTGATGGAAGAAAAGTTGGAAGTCTTCCAGTTTCCTCGTTTTCTCGTGGGCGATGAAGTCTCTCGCCTGCTTTCATCGGTCTCCGTGTCACACACATGTGAGCAGGCCTGCAGGAACGAGCCGCTCTGCTGACTGAAGGAGAAACGTTCAAAAAAAAAAGAAAAGAGGCTCTGTGGAGGAGTCTGTAGGTGTTCTCCTAAATTTAGACCTCCTGCAAAATCTGAGCCGCTCCAGTCCATTTTTATCTCCAGGATTTCATGCACTAATCTGGTTTTTGTCCGATAAGAAGTAGCACCACCGTCAGGCAAACGTTTTCCACCTCAATGTTCTTGCATCTGGTAGGTTTGTCTTCTCCTGTAGCATCATTTTAACCTCACCGTGTAAACTCCTCTGCAGGCTCCACATGATCCTGTGTCGACTTGTCCGACCTCGTCTAAAAGCACAGTGTTTTTTTGAGTGCGTTCGAGCACATGGCTCTCATGTGGGCGTGAAACACAACAGAAGAAAATAAATCCATTTTCACACATGCACTCCAGAATATTCCAGGACAGTTAGAGCTCTTTCACACATCCCTCACAGCGGGAGATTATCACTGTCAGATGGGGGGAGGAGGGGGGGGTCTCAGGAGGGAAGACATGACGTAAAAAAAGACGCTGCAGAAGTCACAGGCTGCATCTCATAGATATGAAGTTGCATGCATGCAATCCACACTTACATCATCTCCTTGTGGGAGGAACTAAAGTTAGGGAAGAAGAAATGTGGAAATAAGGTTTAGTAGACCAGGGACCAGTTGCACCAACTGGTCTTAACTTAGACTGGTCTAAGGCCCTGTGCTGGCCCTGCGCTCGGGAGCACTTGCATGAAGAAAAGAGAAGTCCTTTCATTGATTTTCAACTTGAATTCTCCTGATTATATTCTGCTGCGTTCTCACATCAGATCACTCTGACTTTCTGCAGAATAAATACGAGGAGGCTGGAGGAGAAACTCCGGGTGAAGAGAGAAACATTCAGCTGTTTGTGTTCACACATGCAGCTCCTCCTGGAAATATTAGTTTTTCTGCAAGTGTGAAAGCCATAAATTATTTTAGTTTTCCAGAAAAATCCCTCCTCCTACTCTCTCACATGTCCCGCCCTGATTGATCTTACCTGTGTCTGATTTAAGGCTTTGATTCTGTGTGTTTCTCTTCTGTCTTCTGTGCAATTTCTCTGTTTTTTGCATTTCTGGTTCCCTGGTTTCTGCCTTTTAAAATCTTCTGACTCTCACCTTTCCACCAAACCAGCTTTTGTGAACGTTAAGGTTGTTAAACTGCAGCTGGTTCCGTTTTCTTGGGTGAGTATGAGCCAATTTTTTCTTTGATTTGTGCCTTTTTTTTTAATAACTGGAAATGTTCAGTTGTTGAAGTTGTTTTCATGTCAGGATTGTGGATGGTAAACCTCCATCTGCAGCTTTAAACGGATCCATACTGTATTAATTTGTTCCTCTGGCGTCCTCTCCAGCAGACAGCAGAGCTGCAGAAGGCAGGAACGTTTCTTTGTGATTCCCAAATGGAGACAAAAAAAAAGGAAAGTGGCTGCTCAGACTCCTGGATTAATTTAAACTTTTTCCCTCTGAGAGAAAGAAAGCTGAGCGAGAGGAGGAGGAGGAGGGGGTGAGGAGGAAGAATAGAGCCCGGGGGGGTAGAGGAGGAGGAAGAGAAGGAGGGGGGGGACTGGTTTAGAGTCCGGACCAGTCAGCAGGACATCCTGTTTGAGCCTCCAAATACCATTTCCTACCATAAAGAGGGAGGGAGGCGGGGGACCCTCGAAATAATCTCCCACAGAAGAGACACAGAGACATTGATTGTCACCCTGGCACGAGGCCAAGTCTGAGGAGGAAGGCTGGACCCCCCCCAATACATCCCCGACCCCCCCACAGAGTCTCTGGACGGCAGTCAAAAAGCACCTCGAGGAAGTCATTAAAGCTGAAGGTTAGTGAACACTCTCTCCTTCCTCCTCTCTCTCTCTCTCTCTGTCTCTCTCTCTCTCTCTGTCTCTCTCTCTCTCTCTCTCTCTCTCTCTCTCTGTCTCTCTCCCTCTGTCTCTCTCTCTCTCTCTCTCTCTCTCTCTCTCTCTCTCTCTCTCTCTCTCGGAGCAGTGTGCTCTAATAAAAAAAAAAACACCTACACTGTTGACTTTTTCACACAGAAGCAGGTGTGGATACAGGTGATGGAGGTGACATCACAGTCTGTATAAATACCTCTTCATTAGCTGTTCCTTGTAACCTGCTCACTGCTGTAAATGAGGGTCGGTCTTGAAGATTTCTTAAAGCAACAGTCTGTAAATACTCCGTCAAACAGTCGATCTAATAGAACAAAAACATCCAACATGGAGAATGGCGTCTCTCTCATGTCCACAGTGTCCCGCTCGCCTGTTTTCAGCACTATGTAACTTTGGCAGCGGGCCGAGGTCGTCTCGTTAGAAGTGTGTACGTCTTTACGGCGCTAGTTCACACAGCAGCCTTCAGCTACAGAGCAGCCAGTTAACCCGTCTCTGTGATGTTTGATACAACGGCTGAGGCTAAAAGATGTGACACAACAAGGAGATCATCGGCTGTCGGTCCTAGTTGCACCATTGATGAGCGATCGTCGCCTTAGTCATTTAGCTGGAGCGTCTATTAGCCGAGGTAGATCTGCTTCGCTCTGGACTATATCAAAATGAAATATGTTAAATCTGAGAAGATGAACACGCTGAATAAGGACTTGGATGCAGCAGCTGAGAGTCCAGCTCCTGTAAGTCCTCCCTATCAGACCTTTTTGAAGTCTTCCTCCATACTTGCAGTCACAGCCTATAGCTGTCTGCTCTGTCGGGGTCTCTGACAGTTAAATGAAGACCACCAAAGCCTGCGCTCTCTGTTTGCAGACGGATTTCGGCCCCCTGACCACTCCGCCTTTGTCATCAAATTTGCACAGCGCTGCAATAACTCAAAGACACTTATCATATGCTTTTGGTTTTGTCGTGTCCCCCATTTCCCCCTGTGGACAATCGTGTTGACCTTCCTGTCAGCCCCCCCCCCTGAGGAATTCTGGGTGGCAGGTCCTACCTCGCCCCCCCCCCCTTACACCCCCTGACTCAGAATGCATACAAATTAGCCTTTCAGATATCAGATCAAGTTATGTAAAGGACAAAAGCGAGCAGACTTCAAAGAGGGATGCTGCACCGACCGGCCCGGTGCTCCGACGCCAGGCTGGATTTGATTTTTAGTTTTACTCCGCCCCCCCTCTCCTTCCTTCTAGAGACCCCCTGCACCCGAAAAATAGGTCCAGCCTTTTGGAGCGGATCCCAATCCCAAACCTGGTCTTTGATTTCAGGGGGCTTGGCACTGCTCCTTCTCCCCCCGCTTTGTTCCTCTTGATGGATCTAGGCGGGCCGGCGAACCGTGACCCCTGCCAGCCCACCCCGTCTGTGTGAGTGCACACACTCTCTCATGTACACACACACACACACACACACACACACACACACACACACACACAGTAACGGACAATGCCAAGCTGCCA